CGGTACTTCACCTCTCATTATTAGCCACTTTACAAAAATGATCACCGCTTGCTAGTGTTACAGCAAGAATTTAATATAAAATAAAATACTAATAATAAATAATTACCGCTGAGGAAGGTGCTGGCGAGGAAAATTCCCATCCCGAAGAAAGTTGCTGCGTAGTGGTCGCTGCAGAGGGCCGCCACGAAGTACCCTGCAGGAGAAAGCAAGGGTATATACTATACTGCACACGACCCTCTGTCATCACCCAGCTGAACTGTTCAAGGTGCTAGAGGACAATCGTCACCTTAGAGTCCCTGAGCCTCTCGCCCACCTCGAGGGAAGTGCCATAGCACAGCACGGCACAGCCATAGCGAGACAAGGATGCCGTGCTCCACGCACTGGGACTCCCATTCCACACACCAGCCTCGAGGGCTGGCGAGGGTCCGGGTCGCGAGCGCCGTTCGGGTAGGCCAGCCCGCCCAACACGGCTGCACTACGGGTCGGCCTACCCGCCAGGCGTCCTGCGACCCGCATCCATCCGTTCGTCCATCCTCCTCGACGTGACGGGTACTCACCGACCCAGAGCCCGCACAGGCCCTGCACGTAGAGCAGCGCCGTGAGCGTGAGGTAGGAGCCGCCGTTGGTGAAGCCCATCGCGACGAAGGCGGTGAACAGCACCAGGACGGTGACGACGGCGTTCAGGCACACGTCCAGGATGGCGCGCGCGGCCAGCATCTCGAACTGCGTCACTCCTGCGAATCGTGATCGTGTTAAGCGATGCCAGGGTCGGTCCGCGCGCAATAGTGTCGCGGATCGTTGTCAGAGACGTATCTCACACACGCGGCCATTCAGGGACCACGTCGCCGCACTTTAAATCTCTCTCCGAGACGTCGCTTTTCGAGCTCATTGAACGGTCGTTGCACAAGCGACTTCCCCGAGAGTTTCGCTAATGTGTCCTGTCCGCCCGGCCCGGCCCAGCCTCTGTTGCATCGCGTGCCCGCGGCGCCGCGGTTTGGTTTGACGCGGTCCTCGCTGGGCGGCGCGGCACCCGTGTGTGCCAACGGCGTGTCCTCCAAACCGTCGTCTTATTTCCTCTTTTTTTGGCAGTGTCTGCCTACGTCAGGCCGTCATACGCGTGTCGCAGTGGTGGCGCTAATGACCGCCGTTTTTGAAACAAATTATGAGTAAAGCACCTCGCAGTGTGGATGAAAATTGGGAACGCGAATGACGAGGTGCTGGTGTCGTTTGACAGATTCGGTTCGCCCAATCGCCATTCGATGTAATTGCATTCGGCAGCGGCAGCGCCCCGCGCGAGGTTCGTCTTTATGGCGACTCGTTTCCGGGAGTCCACTCACCCGCGGCCCCGGCCCTGTTCATCACGCCCGTCAGCTTGTCCTCCATGAAGTTGGCCGTCGCGTAGAAGATGGCGGGGAAGTACATCACGCTGCGGATAAAGCGCTTTTTAATTATCATTGATGGCGGGGCGCGCGAGGCGCGAGGCGCGATAGGCGGCCGGCCGGCGGGAGCCAGCAGCCAGCGGCGGTCAAGGCGAGGTCAAGCGCGAGCTGCTGCTCAGGGCCCGGCCGGCGGTGTCGGTGTGATGCTCACCACTGGAGGACGCCGGGCAGGGCAAAGTCCTGGAAGCTGGGCTCCCGGGACCCGTACACGGGCTCCATCTCCTCGATGGGGATGGCGGAGAAGCGCGAGTTGAGCCCGCAGCCCTGCTGCATGTCGTCGTGGAACTTGAGGGCGGCGCGGAACAGGGCGTTCCGCACCAGGTTGCCGATGTACTGGTCTGGTGGGAGGGAAAGAGAGAAAGAATTT